CTACACCCTAAACCCTAACCCCTAATCCGTAAACCCCATATCAACTCCGGAGCCTCAGGCCTCAGAAGCCCCAATCAGTTTAGGGTTTTAGGGTTTAGGGCTTAGGGTTTAAGCTTTAGGGTTTTAGGGTTTTAGGGTTTAGGGTTTAGGGTTTGGGGTTTAAGCTTTAGGGTTTTAGGGTTTAGGGTTTTAGGGTTTAGGGTTTAGGGTTTAGGGTTTTAGGGTTTAGGGTTTAGGGTTTAGGGTTTAGGGTTTAGGGCCTAGGGCCGCAGCCCTTAACCCGAAACCCTTGATCCTAAATCCAAACACCCTCAGATCTCCCCCCGAACTTGGCGATGATGGGTTTAGGGTTTAGTTTAGGGCTGGTTTTGGGAGCTCAACCATCACCCTGGGTTCTGTAATGTAGGGGACTGACAGCCATGGCACAAAGCACACCGAGACCGTAGGTCGACCGCGTCAGGTCCCGATATTAGAGGTATAGGGTTCTTAGGTACGAGGATTGTAGAGTTTAGAGTTTTAGGTAGAGTTTGGATGAGTTTTCAAGGCTTGTGGTTTGGTGGGTTTTCGGGTTAGCGTCTTGGAAGTTTCCAGTTTGTCGGTTCAGGGCCGTCTGGGCAGCTAGTAACGGCATAGTCAGTTAGTCCAAAGGGCATATTTGACATGCATCTTGTCCTTTTGGCTTGGTAACGCCTAAGAATCTAAGAGTCACTTGAAACCTTAAAGGCTACAGAACTTATGTGGCTTGTCTTCTTCACAAATACTGAGGAGTCACGGAAAGATACGGAAAGAAGGGCGACCAAAGCCCATGATTCCAGTCTCATGGTCAATGCAGTGAGCCTTTACGTACAAAGGTTTGGTTGGGGCCACACTATGCTTCGCGAATCCTCACGCTAAAGGAGTCTGTTTTGACAGCCTCCGCGACGGAAAGGCACATCCCTTGCTCGTCGGCAATTTCGGCCAAATTGGGACCTGAATGTATGGGCTATTTGGAAGGACCCTAAACCCTAAACGCATCCAAATGGAGGAGCAGGGGAGTCGGCCAAACATGTGACCCACCGAAAAGCATAGGTTAACTTGGGGCTGTTGGGGTTCCATGTAGTAGGAGTAGGAATACGTTGGCCCCATTCAAACTCAAACTATCCAGTTCGACGGATTCCCTCCCCTTTCACGACAAAACTTCTGCACTTTTGATCTCCAGGGTTTACGGCTTAGCTTCGGGGTTGACAGGTTTAGGGTTCAGCGTTTGGAGTTAGATTGTAGGGTTTATAGGGTTTAGGTTCAAGGTTTGGGTTGAGGATTGTGCTGTCCCAGAGTTTGAGTTTCGGAGCCCACTCTTCCTGTACGAGTGGCGTCGTGACGTGTGCGCAAAAGTTAGTTGCGATGTATTGACAAGGGCTTTTCGAATCCATAGTGTCTACCCGCCGGGGAAATACCCCCATCATTTAGAGCTTAATCCTAAACGCTCCTAGAATCCTAAGCCCCTCACCCTAGCGCTCGCAGGGCAAAGTGCAAACAGCACTTCCAGGCGCGATTTTGGGAAGCCTTAAAGATTAGGGATTTGGGGTTTTGGTTGTAAGGCTTTAGTGTTTTATGGGTTTTGGGTTGAAGGATTTAAGTATTTAAGCACGTTGAAGCCCTAAATCGTAAACGCTACGCCACCAAATCTAAAGGTTGGTGGTTCAACGTCGTATTGATTCAATGAAGCGGGATGGGGTAGAATTGAGTTTTCGGTTTGGGGTTTCGGGAAAAGGCTCAAGATTCAAGGCTTAAAGACGGAGGTCTGACGTTAGTCATTAGTGTTTCGGATTCAGGAATCAGGGTCCCCTCAGGGTATCCATGCAAGGAGAGCTTCGAAATCCCTATTCTGTTAGTTACGGCTCCAGTAGGCAAGTCGTGAGTGTACTGTTTAAAGTACTGACGGTTGAACGCTTACTCGTAGCACTTTTGTCCCGTATATAAAGCTTTATTCCAATTGCAAAAGCCTCGGTGTTACAGCTGTAGGACTTGCAAGCCTCAAGCCCCGCAATCCAGCATTTCCCAACCATTCGCTGGGTCTTTACACCCTATACTCCAAAGCTCAAAATTTCCAAGCGTCAAGTTCTAAACCCTGGCCTGCAAGCCTTAAAGCCTGTTCAGAGATTCGGCCTGGGTGTGTGGCATTTCAGCTGGATCGTTAATTGGGCTTTTTTTATATCTTACGCATGGTGACGTTTATCCCATTCTACTTGTTCCTTTGAAACCCACAACCGAAAAACCCTATGGAACCCCGTACAGAAACCGATGCTCATAACCCGTTCCCGGGAACCCAAAGGACCCTTTACTAGAGCCTTCATGGTCCTAACTATGAACCCCCCAACAGTACTCGTAGAAGCCCAAAGCTTGGAAACCCAATAGCCTCAACCCGCAAGAGTCGGTGTAAGGAATCTCCGCATTAAGTGTCCTAAATCCGGTTTCCAACTTTTCAGGGTTCACTCCCTGAAACCCTAAACCCTATAAGCCAAAACCCCAAAACCCAAAACCCCTAAAGCCCTAAACCCTAAACCCTAAACCCCTAAACCCCTACCCTAAACCCTAAACCTCTAGGGGTTTACTATATACGATAAGTCCCAGGCTCTCTTCTTCGCGACTCTAGTGGCCGCTTTATGGAGCTGCTGTTCCTTGGCTGCCGGGGTTCGGAAATTAGGTTCAGTGTTTAGGGGGTTTAGGGGGTTTAGGGGTTTAGGGTTTAGGGTTTTCAGTTTAGGGTTTAGGGTTTGGGGTTTAAGGTTTAAGGTTTTCAGTTTAGGGTTTGGGG